ATAAGACCTCTTATCACTTTCTTATGACATTCTTATCAGATTCTTATAAGACTCTTATCAAACTCCATTCACTTTCCTGCGTAATCTTATAGAAGAATTTGATAAGAATCAGGTAACATTCTTACGTGAATCTTATTGGGTACTTATAAGTTTATTATAAGATTCTTAACTGACGCCTAGGGCAAAACCTCTTTCTACAACTTTTTGGGCTTAATAATCCGTTTAGAGCATTTCTTGCCAAAGTAAACCCAGAGTCTTATGCACCGACATCCTGGTAAACTGAACTTAAACCAGTTCATTCAGCTAACCTGTAAACAGATGATTCTTATAACTCCTCTACTTTGCCAAACAGTACATAGTCTGACAGCTAGTTGTTTGAATTAAGTACAAGGCGAAGTAACTCTAAGACTCAGGAACTTTCCTTTTAAGCTGATAGTTTTTAGATGCTTCTTAAGAAAACTGTGAAATTAGTACTTCTCATTAAGATAAAAAGGCGACCCTTTGTGTTTCTTTAGACATTTATACAGGTTCAAAAATCGCTGTTCATTTCGACTGATAGAAACCAGTTTTGACAGAAAAAGAATATCGACAAGACTTAGCTTACCTACACTGTAATTTAAAATTAATTCTCGATTTATAGAAAATCGATCTGGAAAATCGCCGGCGATTTTCTGACTTTCTATAAATTTCTGATTTTCTATAAATTGAATTTTCCTTTTATTCACAAAATCGCCATAGAATTTCTAAAAATATGAAAATTCGTTCAACATTTATTTATTTAGTTTTTCACTCTTTCCAAACACTTATCTGAAGTTATTATTACCTATTTTTGAATACTACTGACTACCTGTTCTTTAAAGGAATTTAGCCTTCAGATCTTAAAACTTAATTTAAAAGCCAGAGTGAGATTTTAATATTAAATTTTTTCCAAATTGTATACGAATATTCTTTTGATAAGTTGTTTTCAAGGGATAGAAACTGAAAACTGGCTTGTTCCCATATTTCAACACAAACGACTTGAAATTGAAAATCTCATCTAACAAACAGAACTAGATAACTTTTCAAACTTTTTGCCAAAATGTTGGACATAAGCTGATCTATGTTGACCCAAGTTAAAGTGAAAGTAAAATATAGCTATATATCTTATCCCTCATGCAAAACTTTTGGTCTTCTAGAATATTTAGATCATAGGTATTAATTAGCATTTCTGTCCTGAAACTGCTCATTTCTTTCCGATATTTACAATCTGTATCCTTCATTTTGTTCAATTTGTTTATGAAGGACTTATTCGCTTCTTAAAAACGTCATACTTGCATGCTTCAAGCATACGAAAGTCTCAAAAATTCGTATGTTTCATCCTTCTTTCGTTTTGTTTTAGTTCTATGTGAATACTGTGTCTCTGTTATATTCTATATGAGAAACGAATAAACCCATGACAAATGCGCAATACTGTACTGAAACTGTTCTTAGTCATCAAGTGAAATGTGAAATGTTCTCCGTTCTTTTACGTAAAACGAAAAGTGAAAATTTCCTTCTCTATACTTTTTACCTATGTAGCGGTTCTGTATTTCTTACTACGTTTTTACACTATCTTTACTTCATGCGTACTTATTCATGTAGACATACGATCTTTATTGATGGTTATTTAAAAACAGAGAAGTTGATCAAATGCTTTAATTATTTAGAATTGTTTTCCGCCAAGTACCTGGAACCACTAGCAGCTGAGTTAGATATTTAAAGAGAATTTAAAAGAAATGGTCTTTCATTCACGCGAAAAGCAACATTTAAGAAGAAATGAATTTATGTAGAAAATATTTACAAGACATGAAGACCTAGAAGTAACGATAAATGTCTAAAAAGGTACCTATAAAAGCTCATTATTGTCATAATCCTTATGACAATAATATATTTGAAATACACGACTTTGAAATACATTTCTAACAATAACTCAGCCAGTATTGAGACTCATGAAAATCAAGGTTTTTTTAGAGAACCCCGTGAAGATTTATCATATCTGCAGATCACAGAGTTATCTTTTAGTGCCCTACGTTTATCTAGAAGATTTTAACTCCATCAGTTTTCGAAGATCGCTTGTTGTTATGCAGAAAACCTTGATTTCAACCTTGATCTTCACGACGTTCTCTAGAAAACCTTGATTTTCATGAGTATCAAGATTGGCTGAGTTATTGACGGAAATGTATTTCAAAGCATATTGTTAATACAGATACGGCTAGAAATGATGAAATTCGTACTTTCTGCGTTCAGAAACGAGGTTTTATACGAAATAACCGCTCTAAAAGAACTTCAAGATGATGCACGAGTGAAAAATGTAGAAAAAGTTTGACTCCGAAGTTCCAGTTTTTGCCAGTTGTAGTCCTGACTTTTGTGAACAGATTTTTGTTGCAAACATATGTTTCAATTTTGTACTTCGTGTAGCGACCACATCTTTTTTTTCTAAAAGCCTCTCTAAACGCAATGTATTTGTATAGAAGTGTCGCAATTAGGAAAGAAAAAGACGTGGAGTGTCGAAATAAGGAAAAAGATATAATTTTGACACACATATATGTGCATTGTTCTCTGGAAAAGAGCATGAAAACATGTGCTCTTTTCAAAACAAAATATACGGTTTGATTCGCCATAGTCTTCTGAGTATTCAATATAAAAATGAGACGGTTTTGATCAACTTGGTAAGCCAAAAAAGCTTTTTTTCTGGCGCAGATGTAAAAACGCCATGTATTTGTATGGGAGTGTCGAAATTAGGAAAAAAAAATACGTGGCGTGTCGAGTTTAGAAAAGGACAGAAAAGAAAAAAATTCGAAACACATGCTTATTCCACCTCCCAGTCTTCGAAAGAAAAGGAACGTTAGTGTTGCTTTTCCTAATAATAAGTACAAAATAACAATTTTTATTTGTTTTTTGAATATCACTGAAATTGTTTTAACAAATTAGATTGAGAATAGGAAGAGATGTGGCAAGCTAAGTACACTTTGGAAAGTGAAAAGCTACGGAAGTTGTTGACAGCAAATATCAAAAGTAAACCATCGGAGTGTTCTGTTACGCCACGTATTCTTATCTTTCTACATTAAAAAATCTAAAAGGAAAAACAATTTCACCTAATTATCATGAGTATGTGGGCGAGATGAAACGGACTGCATCTACTTTAATGAAATTTCACGTTGCTAAGTTCACTAAATAATGAATTTCAAAGACTATAATATTTACTATAAGCCTAAATTGCTATTCGAAACTGTTGTCTTTGCTGAAATGATATTTGCATCCAAGAAACGCCCGAACGTAACAATTTTACACACAGACTTGTATAAAACCGAGGTTTTACTACCACGCTGAAGGAACTCAAGTTTAAACTAAGCTTTTTACCGCTTCAAATGAATTTTTTTATCCCTGTCGATTTGAAAAAAATAGTAAAATGAAAATTTAGGTGACTGGACACATTTTACAAAAGTGAACAACTAAAAAATTGAAAATATGAATATTCTACAGAATATAGATACAGAACAGTAAATTTAGTATTATCATTCACTGCAAAAATCAGTTCACATGTTCGAATCTCTATTCGTACCAAATTCATTTTGTGTTGATAATAAGACAAACACCACCTTATACATAATGAAGTTACAATTTCAAAATACAAGTAGAATTGTAACTTCATTATGTATAAGGTGGTGTTTGTCTTATTATCTATTCTTAAATTCTTCACCTTAAAAAATGATTCAATCATTTTGTGTTCTTCGATAGTTGTAGTTTAGACTACTGTAATCGAATATTTTTCCGTTTGTATTTTGATAGAATAAAGATTATAGCAAATATGAATATATAGTAATGAACTTCGATTGTGGTCTAATTATCAGAGTCACCAAAATAGTGTGCATGTAAATAAACAGAGAAATACTGGTTGGCATGTCAACTAGCAAATAGCGCCTTTATTCAGAAAAAACGTGAATACATTATTTTCATAGACAGGACGTAAAAGAGAGTGATGTTACTTTTGTTCGGTGCAGGTGCAAAGACAATAATAGTCAGATATATGAGCGAAATGACTAGGCTTCTAAGAGATTCCTATCTTGAGAAGAATTTGATTGTCTGGGTTTTTCACAGCTATCAAGAGTAAATTGTTCTCTGGGTTTGAAAGCTGTCAAGAGTTATTATTGACTTAACATTTGTTTGTACACTGCATCCATCTTTTGAAATGTTTCATCGATTTCAGATCGTGTTGCTTTTCTTGCAGTGTCTGACATCTTCATGCCAATTTCCTGTTGTCCATTGACTAAACCTGTGAATGCATGTTGAACAAATTCATTTAAATCTTCACCAATATTTGAATTGGGATCAAGATTTGTTTTCACTTTTGGTGGTAAAATCTCATAAACTTGTACTGATGAGTTTTCACTTGTTAAATTGAAACGTAAACTCATTGTAAACGAATGAATACCGGCTTTCGTTGCACCGTACACTGGTGCCTATGACGGTGGAATGAATGCTAGACCTGATGAAACATTGATAATTGCTGATGTCTCTTGTTGTTTTTTGAAATACGGAAGAAAAAGTTTACACAGATGTATTGGCGCACTTAAATTTATTTGAATTTCCTGTTCCATATCTGACCAGGAGGAATTTACAGCGTCAATCGGTATTTGACGCATAATTCCAGCATTATTGAATAAAATATTTATTTGTGGATGGTTTTTTATGG